AAAAAAAAAAAAAAAAAAAAAAAAAAAAAAAAAAAAAAAAAAAAGTCCTGACATGTTAATTTAATTTTCTTTAACAGGATTCAGAGATGTGGGATGGTTATAGATATAATTTGCCTAGATATTAGGAAAACAGTTCACAAAGACACTCATAATATTCTTGTGGAAAAAAACATAGTGTGTGGTCTAGTTAATAATAACAATAATGAATGCTAACATTTATGTAGTGCCTGCTATGTGCCGGTCACAGTGCTAAGCATTTTACAATTATTATCTCATTTGATCCTCACAACAACCCTGGGAAATGGGTACTATTATTCTCCTCAATTTACAGATGAGGAAACTGAAGCAAATAGAGATTACTGTTTGAGGTCAAATTTGAATTCAAATCTTCCCAATGGGCTCAGTCCTCTATCTACCGCACCGCCAACTTTCCCCAACATGACAACATCTAGGCTGACTGGGAAACGGTGGAACAGCTGGAGCCAAACAGTTAATCATTAGTAATTAGATGTTAGTTTCTAGTGTCTTGCTTCAGAAATTTCTGAATAGCTTTGTGCTATTTAACATTTTAATCAATGATGTAGAGAAAGGTACACAGAAGACACAAAGCACCTGGGAGTAACTGGGGTTGCATGCGTATTGAGATTAACTATTCCTATCTCAAAATTCTGTCTAGGAGAACAGTCTACATGCCACAGCCTCCTACTCCATGAACCCACAGATCAGGCCAATCTGATCAGTAATATAGTTTAGCTACCTTGTGGATTAAATAAGATTTTGTGAGCTGCTACATATAAAATATTATCTACGCAGACAAACTATTCCAAGTTTCAAATAACCAAACCTGTTTTGTAAGCTGCAGACTGCTTATACTGTATTGCACTACCACCACTACACATCTGATTACAAGACTCAAGGGGACAGGTCATCTTCTTTTGTATGACTCCAAAGCATATGCATGTGACAGCAACAGATACTTAAATTTTTAGAAGAATGAAAAAATAAAAATTAAAACTAAACATTAAAAGTGTGTTTATGAAAGTATTACAATTGTTAAAATTCCAGATTTAGTAATTTTGGTAAATAGCTTACTTATACTTTAAACTGATATTTATTCTCTGAAAACCACAGCATATCTCTCTTAAGATTCTAAGTTTGCTGAGGTTCATTTCTTCTTAGTTATAAACAGCATCTTGCAGTGGGTGCTGTGCATACAATGGATGCTCAAATAATATAACTAGCTGACAAGAAATATATTTACAGTTATATTTACTTTACTTCACTGGTTATTGAAGCAATGAAATTATTACTCAAATTTGGCCTAAATGGGCCTATGGTAGAAATAATTATTAACATAGGGAAAAGGGAACATATGATGATAGAAAAACACATGAACTTAAGCTTCTTTAAATGGCAATACTAGCACCTGAAAAACCAGAGAGTTTGAAGGGCCACAGGGTGGTGCTATTTCTACAATAATCTATGACTTTATCAGTCATGCCCTTCTTCAGCAAATCAAGGGCTAAGAAATAGTTTTGTTTTGTTTGATTTTTTTTTACTTCTCACAGGTTTATGTGTGAAATATGGCATCACTCAGTTGGTTGCCTGTTTCCAGGGGAAACAACCAGCTGCATCCCTGCCTTTGCACTTCTAGAACGCAGATGCTGAGTAGCATTAGTGAGTCAATTAAGCAGAGGTCACCCTGAACTAAGTAATAAAAACCAACATCCTTTCACTGATATGTCATGGCCAGGAGCCCCTCAGAACCCAGGATTTTAATACAAACCACAGATACTTCCTGCTTTAATTTTGTAGGGCTAAACAGGATTTTTTTTGCATTAAAATAAGTGGCACAAAGTAAAGACTCCTCTTTTAAAAATTTCAATAAAACTAGGCAAACCACAGCTCAATACCTTGTTTCCTCTTCCCATGTGGCTTTATTCCTACTCATCCAGTAGTATTCAAGAGGGACTTGAATACATGCAATATTTTCTGATAGGCACTGGGGGTTCTGAAGGAGATGACTGTTAAATTCCATTGGGGAAAGGGAAGACAATTATAAAGATGGTGGGAATGAATCGTGTCCACGGAACAGTGCTACATTCTTAAGTTCAGAATCTGTTTTTTCTCAAGCACCACCACTCTACTCAAATGGCTTGAAGTGCCTACAGATTGAAATGGACAGAAATGGAATTCAGATTCCTTTTTGAATATAAATTTACCACCGAAAGCACCAGGCAACTTGCTGTTCTCCCTCCCTCCCTCTCCCCCAATCGGGGAGACAATTCTTCTAACAAAGAATAAGAAACAAAGAGAAAAGTTTTTTAGTAAAACTAACCAACCCATAAACTGTGTTCAATATGTGGATCATGCCAAATTTATAGGCTTTTACTTTTGCAACGATGAGAGGGAGGTTCATTTTATCAAATCTTCTCTGAGGCCAAGGTTGGTCATTATAATTACACAGCACTGAGTTTCATTTTATTGTTTGTTCTTTCATTTACTTTGTTGTAGTCACTGCGTATATTGCTTTCATGATACTACTTACTCCATTCAAGCCTTCCCACTTTCTATGTATTCTTCGAATTCATTGTTTCTTATAGTGCAGCAATACCCCATAACATCGAAGTATCACATTTTTTTAGGCTTCCTTCTTAACTCATGGGCATCTAAAAGTGCTACTATGAATACTGTGGTATATGGAATCTTTTTTCCTATGTTTGACTTTCTTGGGATAGAAGCTTAATAGTGGAATCTCTTGTGTCATTGGGTATGGATATTATAGGCACTTAAAAAAACCCCAGAATTTCAGATTGTTATACTTGCTTTCCTATAGCCCCGCCAACATTAATGATTTCTATCTCCTGTCATCTTGACCAGTTTGCTGGGTTTGAGGTGAAGCTTCAGGACTGTTTTGGTTTTCGATTTCTTGCTATTATGATAAGGAGTAATCTTCCATATAGTTAAAAGGTTGTAATTTTTCTTTTGAGAACCACTTGTTTCCAAATGGTTCTTGGTCTTACACATTTGTCTTAATTCCTGATAAATATTTTGGAGGTCAGATACTTAAGCTGAAATATTTGGGGCAAAGATTTTTCCCCCCATCAATAATTTCTCTTATGATAGCTACCCTATTTTATTCATACAAGAGCATTTCAATTTGATGCAACAGAAATCCTACAATCTTCATTTTGTGATTGCCTTTATTCTTGTTTGGCTAAGAATTCTCCCTCCAGGATGCAGAAAGATGGGCACACTAACGCATGTTGGGCAAGCTATGAATTCATTCAACAAATCTTTAAAGCAATTAGAATTACATCCCCCCTCCAAAAGTGACTAAAATGTCTATACCCTTTTTGGTAGAGATGCCACTGCTAGGCATATATCCCAAGGTGGTCAACGATAAAAAGAAAGTACATACGCCACATACGCCAAAATATTTATAACAGAACTTTTTTAATAGAAGCTAAAAATAAGAAACAAAATGATACCCATCAACTGGGGAACTGCTAAACAAGCTGTAGTATATGAGTGTAATGGAAAGGAAGTATATGATGAATGCAGAAGAATGGGAAGATGCAACCTGAAGTAGAACCAGGAAAGCAACATACACAATGACTTCAACAATGTATATAGAAAAAAACAACAAAAAGTGAAACTGAGTGCTATGAAACTATAATGACCAAGCCTAGCTTCAAATAAGAGATACAAGGTGTCTTCCTTATCTTCTTTGCAGAGGCAGGAAACCCTAAAGGCAAGAAGCCCAACTATAGTGTCAGATTTTGTGAATGTGTTAACTAGTCTTACTGAACTGTTTTTCTTATCTTTTTTTATTTTCATCCTTTGTTATAAAGGAAGAAGAGAAGATACAATAGAAATAAAGGTTTTGTAAAAAAAAGAATGTGCTCTCTGGCCATTCTTGTGAAAGATACTTGCTATGATTTCCTTTTAATTTTTAAACATGTCATTTTCTGTACTCAAGTTGTGTAATCATTTTAAGTTTATTATGGTATATGACATCAGGGGTTGATCTCAATCCAATTTTGGGCAAACTGCTTTCCCTTTTCCTCGGCAATTCTTGTCAAATGAGGAGGTCTTTCTCAAGTATTTTGCATTTGTAGATTTATCCAACACTGGGTTACTGCTTTCAGTTGTTTCTGGTTCTTGTTCATTTGGCCTATTTCACTGATTTCCTTTTCTAATTTTAACAAGCACCAAATAGTTTTGATGATTACTGTTTTGTAGTATAATATGGGGTTTAAAGTACATTCTTCATTCCTGTTTGCTGTTATTTCCTTTGAGATTTGAGACCTTTTTGTTCCTGAAAATGAATGATATTATTTTGTCTGGCTTTATAAAGTACCCCATGGTAGTTTGTTGTTATTTTTATATTGGTTCAACCCAACCATGAGCAATGAATATAAAATTATTTAAGTTATTCTTTATTTCTTCAGAGTATTTTGTAATTGCATTTATATTAAGTCTTTAAAGTCTTAGCAGACTGACTCCTAGATATTTTCTGCATTTAATAGTTATTGTGAATAAAATTAACTTTTCTTTTATTTCCTCTTGGGCGTTATTGCTGTATGGAAATGATGATTTCTGTGGATTTATTTTCCTATCTTGCTACTTCACTGAAGCTATTAATTAGTTTCCCTATTAATTCTCTAGACTTTTCTAAGTAAATCACTTTATTTAAACAAAACTCGTTATTTTGGATGTTGGATAAAAATTGCACTGAAATATAAACTTGGCAAAAGAATCATAAATCTGTTGAAGACTCACCTTATGGCTCCTGGAGATCAGCCTTATCACGATTCTGAGCATCATTCCTAAAAGAAAAAAAAAAAAAGGTGAAATTTCATTGGAGCCAATTGACTGTCATTTTCCTCTACAGTAAGTGGAATTTTTCTTGGTTTTAGCCTGGAAAACTGGCCCCATGATCTTGGTAAATCCATAAGAACAAGTGGATTGTGACATCAGTCATCATTCAATTTAAGATGAAAACTAATTTCTCCGTAGTTTAGAGGTGGATATTCTTAAACTCCCTGAGTGGGAAGAAGTCATCTAGCCTAAAGTTGTAGATACCTTCTAAACATCCACGAGCAATGGAGAATTTATTACTTACAAAGCAGGCCATTCTAATTCCGAAATCGGCCTCCCTGTTACTGCTATTTACTAGCCCATGTCCTCTGGATCTTATAGAGAAAAAATTGAGGTGCCCCTGGAGAAGAAAGCCTCATTTGATAATTTATTCTTCATAAGATGCCACTGAATTTTCAATCTGAATGAAATGAGGGAACTTTAGAATATATGAGTTTCAGCTTCTGTTCATACTGGTCAGAAAGTTCAAATGTGTTCATTAAAGTAGTAATCCCATTCCCCCCTCCTTCATTATATGAAGGACATGGATTTTTTTCTTTCTTTCTTTCTTTTTTTTTTTGGTGAGGCAATTGAGGTTAAGTGACTTGCCCAGAGTCACACAGCTGGTGAGTGTTATGCATCTGAGGCTGGATTTGAACTCAGGTCCTCCTGACTTCAGGGCCTGTGTCCTATCTACTGCACCACCTAGCTGCCCCCAGGACATGGATTTTCTGTCATTAAATTGATATGCTAGTAATATACTGTAACCAAAGTTCTCATATGCTATCTAATTATGTCATGGAGGTGACCCTGAGGTTTGAAGACTACGTCAGAAAACCTACAGAATGTAAATTTCTTGAGGACGTGGATTTTTTTTGTTTTGCCTATTTCTCTAGTGCCCACCAGAGTGTCTTGCAAGTAGCTGGTACTTAATAAATGTTTGTGGGAGTGAATTGTTGGACTAGTTTAAATTAAGAGAGGCATAATCATGAAGTGATTATTTTTCTGGCCACAGCAATTTATGAAACCATAAAACGGCATGGAAAGGTTATGTATCTGTATCTGAGAAATGAGTAACCACTAACCACATTTGTAAATCGCTTTTGAAATATGAAGTATGGAAGTAACAATCCTTTAAAAAAAAATAGATTTAACAGACATATCTCAAAACAAACAAACAAAAAAAACAAACCCCAAGGTTCCAAAAGTGATTTCTCAGACTTGGGTACTAGTTAAGCCTGAGATGAACTTCTGAAAAATTAACTGGAAATCAAATAATTTCAATTTAAAGAATAGGTGGCTCAAAGAAAAAGTTATAGAAATAATAATTTCATTAAAGATAATGACAACAATAAGACAACATACCAAAATTTGTGGGATTCAGCTGAAGCAGTACTTAGGGGGAAATGTGTATCTCTAAATGCTTTCATCAATAAAAGAGTTAAAGAACAGATAAATAAATTGGGTAGGCAATTAAAAAAAAATCAACAAAATTTAAAAAACAAATAATTAAACACCAAGATAGAAATCCTGAAGTCAAAGGAGAGATTTAAAAGTTAAAAAACCCACTGAACTAATAAATAAAACAAGGAGCTATTTTTTCAGTGAGAGAGGAACCCCCTATGAAATGGATCAGCCATTTGCTAATTTGATGTAAAACAGCAACACTACCACATTACCAGTATCAAAATTAAAAAGAGTAAATCCACAGTTAATGAAAAAAATGAGGAGCTATTTCACTCAACTACATGCACAAAAAACTAACAATCTAAATGAAATGGATGAATATTTACAAAAATATAAATTGCCCAGAGTAATAAACCCAGAAATGGAATACTTAAATAACCCTACAATTGAAAAGAAACTGAACAAGCCACAAATGAATTCCCAAAGAAACAAAAACCCAGGACCAGATGATTTTACAAGAGAAACCTACCAAACATTTAAAGAACAATTAGTTCTACAGTTCTACAGTAATATACTCTTTGAAAAAATAGGTAAAGGAGTCCTACCAAACTTCTTCTATGATGCAAATATGGTCTTGATACCTTAAACCAGCAGTCAAAACAGAAGGAAAACTACAGGCCAATTTCCCTAATGAATACTGATGTAATAAATTTAAATATTAGTAAGGAGATTACAGCAATATATCATAAATATCATACATAATGACTAAACTGGACTTATACCAGAAATGCCATCCTGGTTCAGTAATAGGAAACTTATAAACATAACTGACCATATGAATAACAAAAACCAAACCCATATAATTCAATAGGTGCTTTTCACAAAATACAATACCTATACATTTTTATGTAACAGCAAGTGAGAACAATTCCAGTGACATCCAAATGAACTTAAATCAAAGCAGAAAAATATCTACTTACTTCAATCTCTAAAACAAGCAGAAATGAAGACATTGAAAAAGGTCCATAGACAATGTAATTAATGATGAGGTACAGCTTTTCTTTGTGAGTTTTTAGCTTTATGTGATGACATAGTGAAAAATCACATTTTATTATAGTATTTTAGTATTCGATATCACATTCTGCTTGTCATGGGACAGATGTGCAATGTGTGAGGGTTTCCTATTAAGACATTAGTGGTAGAAATTAAGGACTAATGAGAATTTATCGGAGAGTTTCTGGGTAACAAAAGGAAGGAAATAAAAAGGTACCCACATAAAGACATTAAAACATTTTTCTATGACTGCTCAATTTTTCACCTTTGGGACCCTCCACTATCTCTACTTCTCTAAGAAAGAAAACTTCTTTCTACTTCCCAATTTAATAATTTTGAGAATCTGTCTTTAAAAATAGGGATAAAATAAATTAATCCCAGAGGCTAATTTCTTCTTTCTCTGAACCATTTCAGAATTTGTGCTCTTTAAGGAAATACTTGAGAAGAATTCCAGAATTTCAGAGTTTGAGGGAACCTCAGTGGCGATTTAGCCCAATGTGTATCCTTAACATTTATTTATTGCACTACTGAAAATTCAGAAAATATTATAATAAACCTTTCTCCAGCTAAAGCTAGATCCTACCACTACAAACCCAATGAGATCAGCGAGAGGTATATTGAGTGAACAAAGCAAGGAACAGCTTATGCTATGCTCAGAAATATGTATATATGGAAACGTACCAAGTTAAATCACAGAATCTCAGAGTAGGAAGATAACTTGTAATTTGGACCAACTTCCCACATAATGCAGAAATCCCTTCAATGACATCCCTGATGGGTAGGTGGTCAACCAGTGTCCAAGTGAATACTTTCAATGAGAGAGAGTTCTTACTACTTCATAAGAAAGCCAACTCTATTTTGGTAAAAGTCTAGAAAATTCTTGCTCAGATTGAGCTGAAAACAGACTTTCCGTAACTACTATCAATTGGTCCTAATTCAATTGTTTTAAGCAATACAGAATAATGCCTTTTTCACATGACAGCCTCTGACATATTTGACAATATCCATTACGTCTTCTATCCTCACAAGTCTTCTCTTTTCTAGGCAAAACATACCTATTTCCTTTTAACTCACCATAAAAACTTTCATCCTGCTCACCCCTCATCACTCAACTAAACTTTTATTAAACATCTACTATGTGCTGAGCACTAGGAATACAAAGAAAAAAGTGGCACTGCCTGTCTTCAACGAATGTATAATCTAGTGAGGGAAGATAACTTGTATAAAATACATGTGAGATTTTTTTTTTTTTGTGAGAGGAGCTAGCAGTTGGCTGGGCGGAGGGGGAAGGATAGGGGGTAGAAATTACAGTAGTGCCTTGAAGGGAATCAGGAATTCTAAGAGGTAGATATGAAAGTGGTGGACATTCCAGGCCTAGAGATGGAGTGCCATATGTGAGGAACAGTAAGGTGGCCAGTTTTGCTAAACTGTAGAGTGCATGAAGGGGAATAAAGCATGGTAAGGCTGGAAAAAAAAGGATAGGGACAATTTGTGAAGGGTTTTAAATGCCAGCAGTTTATATTTAATCCTACAGGAAATTGTAAGCCACTTTAATTCATTGAGTATGGGAGTGTGATGTGTTCAGGCTTGGGCTTTAGGAAAATAATTTTGGCAGCTATGTGGAGGTTGGATTGAAGTAGAGGGAGCTGGAGGCAGAGACACCAATTAGGAGGCTATTGCAATGGTTCAGGTGAGAGGTGATGAGGGCCTCCTAATTGATCTCTCTGCCTTTCGTCTCTCCCTTCTCTAATCCCTCATCCTTTTCAGCTGCCAGAGTGATTGTCCTAAAGCCCACGTGTGACAGCATCACTTCCCTCCTTGATGAGCACAAGAGGGCTCCCTATTAACTCCAGGATCAAATGGAACCATCTGGCACGTAAGAGTCTTCATGACCCAGCCCATTCCTACCTTTCCAATCTTCTTCCATTCTCCTCCCCTCCACACTATCTACAATGCAGCAATATTGGTCTACTAGCTGCTCCTACCTCCTCTGCCTTCGAACTGGCTATTCTCTATGTCTGGAATGTGCTTTCTTCATTAACCTCCTGCTCTTAGAATCCCTGGCTGAAGACTCAGCCCAAGTGCTCGTTCCTCCAAGGAGGCCTCCTGTCCCACTCCTCCCTCCAGTTCCTAGGGCTATACCCTCTAAAGTTACCCTCTATCTACAATACTCTGTATTTATCTTGCAGGTTCTGATTTATATATGTTGTCTCCAGAATTAAACTAAAATCTCTTTGAGGGCAGCAAGGTTTTTGGTTTTATTTATATCCCTAAGGACTCAGCATAGTGTTTGGTATATACTAAGACATATAGGTGGTACAGTAGGCCTGGAGTCAGGAAGATACTGAGTTCAAATAAAGCCTCGGATATTTATTGGCTATGTGACCCTGGGCAAGTCACTTAACATCTCAGAGCCTCAGTCTACTCAACTGTAAAATGGGGATAAATGACAGCACCTTCTTCACAGGGTTGTTGTGAAGATCCAATGATATAATATTTGGAAAGCACT